CTGGTGGGAGGGCTGAAGTGCCTGGGCAAGGTCTGGGCACCTGGCATTTCCTCCTTGCTAGATGTGCGGGCACAGAAAGGAAAGGTAGCTTCTCCAAGGTCATATAGCCTCTTCAAGCCAGAGCTGGCACAAAGCTGCAGCTCTCTCCACTCCAATGACTGTCCCTCTGCACAGCTAGCACTAGGGGAGACTGAGTCCTCTCCTCCCCCACTAGTACCAGGTTTGGGGCAAAGTGACCAGACTTGTGATTCTTCAGTATCTTTCTATGTGGGCTTTGCCTAGAACCACAGAGGACAGCAGAGGAGACAGGTAATGAATGAGGCTTCCAAGTATGGAGCCCAGGTTACCACTAGCGTTTCACACCGGAAGTCGAAGTCGGGGTCAAGTTCAGCCCCAAGTCACACAGCCTCAAAGTAAGTCAGGGCTCGCCCCCAGGACTGCTGCCTCTGAGAACTGGCTGATCTTTTCCCAGCTCCTCGAGAAAAGGGTCTCCCCTCTTCCTGTCACTGGCAGATCAGAATTAAGCAGCTGGCAAGATCAGAATTAAGGCTCATCCCTTGGTACGGATGCCAGGGGGCTCATCCCTTGGTACGGATGCCAGGGATTCTGACTCAGAGGCATTTAAAATTTCCTTTTGTAGAGCTGCTATTATAAATTGCTGGTTAACTTAACAGCAGCTCAATTAAATCAGCATGATGCTGAGTGGAGATGGCCCACCTGAGGACTGTTTGCCAGCAGAAAACAAGACTGTGGAGAGGAAGCGTGGGTGTTGTGGATTCTCCTAAGTGTTGCTTTTGGAGCTGTTGGTTCTCCTGGAGGAGCTTGTCATGCTGGCTTCCCCAAGGTGGATTCCGCCATTATCATCAAAGGAGCTGGGGAGCTTGTTGCTGAGAGTTGCCGCAGTTTACTTTGGGGGGGCTCGTTCACGCTGGCTTCCTGTACTTGACTATTATCAGAGGAGCTCAGGACCTCATTGTTGCTGAGGATGCTGTGATACTTCTCAGGGGAGTCCTGGTCCTTATTTTGAATGTTGCTTCTTAGCTCTAGTAAAGAACCCTCAACCTACTGGCACAGCTCCTTCACCCCGCTGGCATAGACTTTCTAGCTTCCACCGGTGATCTTTGGGCCTTTCCAGGGTGGACCCGTAAAACAGATGTGCACGAGTCATTGTTGGACACATGAAGGGCACTGTCACGGGCTCTAGGTCTTCAGCTGGACTCATGCAGGACATTGCTATGGGATTCAGGCTCTCAGCTAGATTTCCTTGGGTTTTTAGTGTTGTGGACAGATTTCCTGCACTTTCTTGTACTTAAATCTGGGTGATCATCATAAAATAACACTATAAATTCTGTGTCCTGAATATAATTATCCTCCTTGCAACCCCTGACTACAACAGCTGCCAAACTAAGATTTTGTTAGGGAAGACAGCCTGCATCAGAGTTCCAAACCAGTTAGAATTAAATCTCAAAAACACCATTAGAAGCCGGGTGTGGTGGCTCACATGTGTAATCCCAGCACTTGGAAGGCAGAGGCAGGATCACAAGTTCTAGGTTAACCTGGGCTACATAGTGGGTTCAGGGCCAGCCTGAACTACACTGCAAGACTCTGTCTCAAAAACAAAAACAAATGAAAACCACCATTAACCTGACAGCACCTCATATTCTACCAGGGTTAGACATAAAACACACCTCTGTCACCTACACCCTGAAATTTCCCCAAGAGGGTCCCTCCAGTTTTATTTCCTTGCTACTGTTTTATGCAACGAAATGAGGGCTCCTAAAGGTTTTTATCTTCTAAGCCTCACGTGCGGCACCTTCTCAGCTGTCCCTCAGCACCCTGCCACCGAGACAGCTGTCACCGTGCAGGTACAGACCGGGTGCTGGCAGTCGTCTCGCACAGCTCAGGATGCACAAGATCAGGTGTGCCGGCCAGGGGCTCTGCGCAGGTCCATGGCACATGGGCAGCGGGTGTGGCCACCAGCTGTCCTCAAAGCACCATGGAGAAGGGAGCACCCCTTCCACGCATGCCTAGGGAGGACCACCAGGCCTCGAGGGCCCCTCTAGACATTAACTGCCACAACTCCGCACCCAACGTGTCCCTCAGCCCACAGGACTCTCCACAATCACGCTGCCCACAGGACTTTCTCTGATGTGGACCTGGGTGTTGAGTTTTTTTCATTTTAATAGCTTCATGCAGCTATGGTTACCATTTGGGGCAGTTCTGAAAGAACTAGCACTTTTTCCCTTTCTCTGCTTCTTGATGCAAACACAAAAGCGGAACTGTGGCCATAGCAGAGTCCTTGTACCCCAACCCTCAGTTCCCCACCTTCCCTGCTCCTCCGCCCAACTTCTCTAGTATCCTAAGGCCAAATATTACCTCTAATAACAGCGCTCTCTCATTCCAGTTCTAATCACAAACCCCTCTAGAGAGAAAGTGTTAGAGTACAACAAATGTCCTGTCCAAAGGTTCAGAAAACCACTTTGTAAAAATGCTTTGGAGTGGATGCAGGGAAATTAAATAAGTATCAGGTGGGTTTGAGTAAGTTAGCACGTCAGCCCCACGAGCTCAGGAGTGTGTTTGGAGAAGGCTTTTTTTCACTGGTTCCAAATAACAGACAAATTGTAAATGTAATGAGTGAGCGAGGGAAGGGCGGCTGCAGCCCTCAGAGCAGGAAGGCCTCCACGGGGAGGAGAATATTAATCAAGACTTCTCAGCGCAGGGGCTCGAGGAAAACAAGTCACTTCTTCATGTACAAGGCAGCTCCCCAGCTCCACGTGCACACACTACACACTCACACTCCTACCAGGGAATCACGTCAAACGCAGGTCCCCATCCCAGGGTGGTGGTAATGCCTCCGCTGGCCACTGGTCATGCTGCTGCTGCTGCTGTAACCTCTGGTCTCCTTGCCTCTCTCCACCCCTGCCCTGGCCCCTTGCAGACTTTTGCAGCAAGCCTAATTTCTATAAAAAGGAAATCTACAATGCAAACAGGCTCAGGCAGGCTGAGAGAGCCAGCATGGTGTCTGCCTCACCCGGAGCAATAGCCAGATACCACCCTGCAGAAGCAGCCCTCCCCCACTGGGGGCACCCTGAGGCTCGCTGGCTGTTCTTCCGATGTGGCTGCTGTCTCTCAAACTGTGTAAACTCCTGCTGAGCTTAAAAAGCAGATGCCATGACATGACCCTTGCACCCGAGCTACTGAACCACAGGCCAGCTGGTGTGTCTGCGAGGGCAAGACTTCGCAGGAAGCCATACGGACGCCCCAGGATACAAAAGCTCCAGATCCAGGTATGACTTCATAGCCTCCGTCACACCCACAGAAGCTGAGACCTGCAGGAGCTCCAGATAGGATGAGCATGTTTCTCAGTGAGCACCCATTTACTTTTGGTTGAGAACCCTGCATTATTCGCCATGGTTTTACCATCAAGTAAAATCATTGCCTTTGTTAACTCCTAGGTATTTGGAACTTAGTATTATTTTGAAATTCATCTAGTTCAAAATGGAGTTCTCAGGGAAGCTATTTTGCTTGAAAATAGAGGTGATACCTGAGAATGAATGTGCTTTACTTCTCAGAGTTGAAGGTTGAAAACCTTCCCCGTTGCTAAGAGCAACTCCTCACCTAACCAGGAGATGGCACTGCAGGTGTGGTACACCGAGCCCAGGGGCTCCCTGCCAGGGAGATGAAGAATTTACAAGGTGTGACCTCCTAACCAGCCATGCATGTAGGCTGGTGACCACCAAAGTGGTGGTGGAAATGAAACCAAACAGAGAACAGCTAGAGAAATAAGAATCCTGTCTGTGGTCCACAGGGTTCCACCTCCAGGACCACCCTACACATGTACCAAGAGTGACAGCTCCCCCCAGACACCTGGGTGCCCATGCCCCCTTACAGGCTCACAACTAGATGCCACCGTCCTTCCAAGCTCAGCGCTCCTAAGCCCTCAAGTGTCCACAGCTCTTCATTGGCTGACCCAAGACATCATCATCACCTTTAATGCATACAACAGTGAGAAACTTCTAACAGGTAAAGCAAAACCTGAGACCAGAGAAGCCATGCCCTTTGGGGATGGCTCCAGGCAACTGCAGGCCTAGAGAAGCTACACACCCCCAACCCCAACCTGTGAGCCAGCAGCCAGGCCTGGTGAGGCCACACCCCCTCCACCCTGTGAACCCCACCCAAAGAAAGGTCAGGAGAAATCAGAAGGAAATTAGAAGCCACACACCTGAAATCCCTGAAATGATAAGCACCTGGAGTGGGGAAACAACTTGGTACTTATATTATCTGAATAATTTCACAAGTCTGGGTGACACAGACATAGAAGAAATTAGAAGCCACACACCAGAAATTTCTGAAATGACAGCAACTGAAGTAAAGAAACAGCTAAGGGCTTACACTGCTTAACTTCGCATGCCTGTATCTAGGAGTCTGAGCAACTATTTGGAGGATAACAATGCGCGGCATAGTAACTACTGATCGCCTACTGAGGCAATTTGTGAAATTCAAGGTCATTCTCACTGTATTGTTTTAGTTCATTTTATGGTTTATTTTGCTTTATTCTCTTTAAAATTAAAATTTTTTTTAACTGAAATTCAAAAAGCCCTGACAGACCAGAGCACAGGCTAATGTGCAACAGTGGGTGGTCTCAACAGACTGCAAGCACTGTGCAGAGCACGAGGGGAGGAAAGGCAGACCAGGAACCCTGAAGGCCACCAGGCCAGCTGACCTCGCTGGTGTGCAGAGCAGGTGACGGCCTGCACAATGCACTTTGTTCTCAAGTGGACAAGGAGAGTTTCCAAGACAGCTACACACGGGACCATAAAATGAAGGTTCAATAAATGTAAAAGGATTAAATCATTTAAGGTATATCCTCCCTTCATGGTGGAATTAGAAATCAGTAAAAGAAAATTACAACAGTGATAATGCAACAGAAACAGAATTCAAGTCACATGTGCAATCTTAAATTTTTGTTTTCTACTGCCACAAAATAAAAAGCAAACAAGTGAACTTTAATAGTTTTTATTTGGCCATACACCCAAAATACTCATTTCAACATTAAGCAACGTTTAAAAAATGAGCTATTTACATTTTCATCCATGTCATCTTCAAAATCGAGTATTTTACAGTTAACAGCACATCTCGGTTTGAGCTAGCCCTGTGTCAAGTCCACAGTGACACCCAGCCAGCGTCTGCCACGCTGGACCCCACAGTTCTGCATGGCAAACGAAACAAGTCAATGTGCTTTCATATCCATCCTTTAGTTTTTTCAAAGAAAAAGTATCAAACTGAGACAGAGCTAAACTTCTGAATATTTAATTCTATCTTTAAGGGGAAAAAAAGAACACCAACCCACTAAGTGGACAGGGCAGCTAACCTGTCTCCAAACACGTGCTCCCTTCACTCACTGCTGTTGGAGTAGGCAAAACACCCGCTTCCACCCGTTCTCAACTGGGTCCACTCTTCTCACAAGCGCTGCTGGCCACTTCGGGTCCAACCCTTCTCTCTGCCTCCCTGCTGATGCCAGTAACACACAGGTCTTGTGCCCGCTGATGGTTTATCCCCACTCCTCACATTCTGGAGTTCGGTGGGGTCTTGTCACCCAGTTATGCCACTGATGTTATCCAAGGGCTTTTGGTTGCTACTTTATGAAGAGTAAAAACCAACCCAAGAAATCCAAACAAAGAAAACCCAAACTCCCAAAACACTAGCGGTCACTGTCTGCCCAGAATCTGACTTTATAAAACACACCCATTAATGATGAAAATGAAGTTTTTAAAACAGATACTATTTTCTGAATACCCTGCGTTGGCCTTATATCTGACCACAATGTGGAATAAAGGAGCCTGCAAAGAAATAATGCAGGCTGAGAAAGAATAAGGAACCAAGCAAACACTTCTGACAAGTAACCCAAACCCAGGAGGCCAGGCAAATGGAAAGTGGACCCCAACTGGGACCAGCCACCAGGGACAACACCCAGATGAAGAATACAGCCGGGAACAAATGAAACGGGGTACACATCCTAGAGGCTCCCCAGAAACACATGAAACAACCCTCAAACAGGCACACACGTGCTATTACTAGAATTAAAATCAGTGCAGATAACTGCTGTAATTTTTTTTTTTGTACTGGGGATCGAACTCACAACTATGCACTTGCCAGGCGGGCGCTTATGCCGCTGAGCTAAATCCCTGGCCAACTGCTGCATTCTTACAAGTTAAGAAAACAGTGGCCTTGGTGTGATTTTTGTAAAACAATGAATGACAATCCCAAAATCACAAAATCACTACAAAATCACAAAACTACCAAAACAATGGCAACCAAAAATCAATGGCCTGCTCCAAAATCCCTTTTTGCCCTCCCTTGTGCTGCTCTAACAGAATACCTGACACGGAATCATTTATAAAGAACAGAAAGTTACTTCCTACAGTTTTGGAGGCCAGGAAGTCCAAAGTCCAAAGGGCCACATCTGGCCAAGGCGTTCCTGCTGGTCATCCCACGGTGGAGGTGGAGGGCACGGGAGCCTGTGTGCAGGAAGAGAGGCCCAACCTCTCCTGCCACCACGCCTACTCCTTGGATGATAACTGTTTACACCCTAGAGCAGCGTGAACTCCCCTTAGGGGTCCCACCTCAACAGTGCTGCAGTGGGAACTCAGGTCCCCAACAGAGAATTTTGGGGACACGCTCATGCCACAGCACCAGAAGACCCTGAGGAATACAGCATGATCACAGCAGACTAAAGTCAGTAATTAATATAAAACCCAAAGGATTAGATCCTATTCAGATACGAAACTCTCCAAATGTGTCAAAATATAAAACCCAATATAGTTGCCAGGCAGTGGCACATACACGCTATTACACAAAAAGCTGAGGCAGGAGGATTACACTTCAAGGTTGAGGTTAGTCTGGGCAACTTACCAAGACCTTGTTTCAAAACACAAAATAAAAAGAGGTGGAGATGTAGCTCAGGAGTAGAGTACCCCCCAATTTAGTCCCCAGCACCACAAAAACAAAAGCAACTTAAGAGTACTCTTTCTTATGAACTGTACATAACAGATGTAAGAACTATACAGTGTATTAAGTAACAGCAGTCAGGGATTTAGCTCAACAGCACAGCACCTGCCTGGCAAGTGCGAGGTTGTAAGTCTGATTCCCAGTACCATAAAAAATAAAAACAGTACCAAAAAATTACAAAGCAAAAGCTCTATACAAATGAAAATGAGAGAACTGTAACAGAATTTAAAATTAACACTATTCTATAGTTTAGAATCAATACAATTAAATTTGCACAATGAAATTAAATTGAATGGTAATCATACATCTGCACCTGTCATATGCAAATTGAATAAATTTTCATTTTAAACACCCATGGAACACATTTTAAAGATCTTAGGTCCCACCATACATGGTTGCACAGGCCTGTAATCCCACCACCTGGGAGGCTGAGACAGAAGGATCACTGTGAGTTTAAGGCCAGCCTGGGCTACTACAGAGCAAGACCATGTTTTAAAACTCCCAAAACAAGAGAAAAAAGCAAATAAAGATGTTAGGTCCCAAAACCTCAATAGATTATAAAAAGCAAAAATTACATAAATTGTATTTTCTTTCCACAACATAAAAATCCTATAGGTAGCGAAAAAAAAAAAAAAAAATTTTTTTTTCTTTTCTTTTTTGGTACCAGGGATCAAACTCAACCTTGCAGTTGTCAGGCAGGCACTTGTGCTGCTGAGCTAAATCCCCAGCTCCCTTTTATATTCTGAGACAGCATCTTGCTGCATAGCCCAGGCTGGCCTTGAACTCTCTTATGTAGCCCAGGCTGGCCTCAAACTCACAGTGATCCTCCTGACTCAGCCTCCCAAGTGCTGGGATTATAGGTCTGTGCCCAGCAGCAAAAAAAAAAAAAAAAAAAAAAAAATTAAAAACCCAGAGAAATTTTTAAATATTCTTAATTGTTGAAATAAAATGTTAATGATAAACTATTTAGAAAACACGGTTTCTACACATCAAAATGGCTGGGATGTTGACATTTTTTAACTTAGAGGTAACTTAAAAGCCTTCAACATAGGCATTTGTGTATCAGTGAAAAATAAGCAATCACACTCAAAAATGAGAAAAAAATCTGAAGAAAATAACTATAAAATGAGAAATTATTTTAAACCACATAAAAAGAATCGTAACAGATAAGATACTAGTTTTCAGATGGGAAAAAGCTTTAAGACTAATCAAATAAAAAGTAAAAAATAGAACTAGGACAAAGTAAATGTCTCAAAAGTGACAAAACTGGAAATCTCTACTAATATTTTCCATTACCCAATAAAATTATTAAATTTCAACAAGATAAAAATTCTTCTAGAATATAGATTACATAAACTTAGTAAATAATAAAATGAGAAATATATTTTAAAACAGAAAATCTTACAGTTGCTTACATTTAAAAACGGTTAAGTCATGAAAGAAGCTGACAATTATCAAGAAATCATTTCCAAACAGAGCTCTAAATGTGGACGTTTTACAAGCAGTCTTTCAGTCTTCCATGGAACAAACCACCCCCACCATGCAATAACTGCTTAGTGCACAGAAAAATACAGCCATTCCATTTCCTTTGTGGAGCCAGCAAAATCCCAATGTTACAATTTGTACAACAGCCCCAAAGATTCCTCTGCTCATGTGAAAATGTAAACGTCTACATAACATGAAGACAAACAAGCCAAATAATCCTGCGACACCAGCAGGCGGTCACGCTCAAGGACTCGTGATGCCTAGCGAGGCCGCATGCTGGACAGCGCAAGTCTGCAGCGACCAAAATATATTTCCTTTGATTTTATTTGGTAGTATTTCAGCATAATCTCGTTTTGCTTGCTCAGGTTTACTTTCCACCCTAAAGTCACCGGGACTTGAATACGGCTTTCAGAACCAATACCTCCTGTACTGAGCACCTCCCAGGTGGGCTGGAACAGTCCCACACAGGTCAGGCTGGTGCTAGGGAGGGGCCCGGGCCCTCCAGGACACCTGCAAGGGATGAGGCATGTGAGTCTGCCAGGGATAGTGGCATTGCAGTGTGACAAAAGCTTAAGCAGTTTACAATGCACTGAGACTCTACTTTAAAGCTAAAATTGTGGTGAATTTCTTTAGGTATAAGTATGCATGTTATTTCAATTCTGAGAGTTTGCAAACTGAGTCTTTATTAGTAGTAGTTCAACTATTTTAAGACTAGAGAAGTCTACATAAAATGCAAAAAAAAAATAGTAAATGTAATTTTTAAAAAAAGAACATAACTGGGTCCAGAAGTACAGAGATTGTTTAACATCAGAAAATCTATTACTGTAAGTCACCAACACATCAACCAGGAAAAACTGTAACATTTCCTAAAGGTATACTCGACAAGATTCTGGAGCACTTCTAATTCAAACTCAACAACAACAAAAAAAAAAAAAAAAACAGAGAATACTACCTTTCTAGGTAACTCAGAATAGCCAATTTAAAAGTAAAACACAGTGGATATTCCCATTAAAACCACAAAACAAGAATCTACTACCAGCATTATCTAACATGATACCAAATGTAAGTCAATAAAACATGCAGTGAAAAACTATTAGAAGAAACACCATCACAAGATGCTATCAGTGTATTCCCTGAAAAACAAGGAGAAATCACTAGAACCAACTGGATGCTGCATTCCTTTGCTTAGAACGTTCTCATAGGGTTCTGTCTTAATGAACTCATCTCTAACACTGTTTGGAGTTCAACTGTCGCTCTCAACAGACCGAAAACCCTACAAAGCAGGCAGGAAGCCTATTTGCTTCGCCGTCCTGTCTCTAAGACTCTGGCATAGTGTATCTACCCAATCAATACTGGTGTGGGAATGAGTGCACCCCTCCTCCCCGCCATGGTCTCTAACATTTCGAAACCAGTCAAACTCTTTTGGTCAGTCCAACACATCGTTAGCCCGTTATGAGCCTGGAAGCAACTAACATGGTACTTTTATAGAACTGTTATAAAACTAATTTCTCCACTTCCACTCATTTTCCAAATACTGTACTTGTGTAACTGATTTGTAGAACTAAGAAGTTTGACTGCCTTGTTGAAAGACTTTTCAAAGCTGTCAAAAAGTGCTCACAAGAAAATAACAACTCAAGAAATACTAAAACTCGTAAGTCACAATCCATAAACTGCGTAAGTAGCCAGCAGAGAAGAGGCCCTTCCTAAAGTGACACTGAAGATAAATCCGAGGTCTCACAAAGTGACTCTTTCCTGAGTCAGTGCAGAGATAGCTGCTCTGTGCCAAAGCCACAGCAGTCTCCAGACACCAACCATCTCACCACCACCCCGGGTGACTCATTAAGCAACAGAGCACACAGGGCCTGGTTTGTGGGCATCTAAGCATCTACAAACAAAAGGCTACATCCGTAATTGTTATATTTTGTTTTTATTCAAGGGTTTACTCACAGGCAGTACTTTAGAGTCAAGCTTTTTAATTAAAGACCAAACCTAAAAAAATCTTGCAAATACGACACTGGTGAAAAAATGATCGTCTTAATAATTTAAACCTCATGTGTCCTTTGGAGTTAGATGTCTTTAACAACTAACAGGATGTATATGATCAAGACCATTTAAAATAACCAAAAGCCACAGACAGTGAGTCGATTTGTCACAAAGATAACCATCAGCATCAGTCGAGTGAGGAAACTCAGCAGCTAATTTGCCCTGTAACAGGATGGATTCTGCGCTTCAAAATTTTGACTCTAAAGTCTCCTTCTCCAGCAGCAAATCAGCATATCTCTGCTGAAGCTCCTTTTCTCTTTCCTGTTGTCTCTGCACATCTTCTTTTAGACACTAGAACACAGAGAAATATTCAATGGTTAGTTCATATTTAAGTGTACTGAAAATTATTGCATCTTCTTTAAAACAGCTGCATTCATTCATAATTCTTAAGAGACAAATGTTTCCCAAACAAAACACAGAGCAAATACTCTTGATGTGAAACCAGTCCTGCAGTCCCTCTCGGCTCTGATCATAAATTACTTCCTTGTAAAATCTCTGCTGCCACTTTAGACAAACAAGTCACTTCTGTCCTCTCAATATGACTCCTTAAGTGCTGGTCATCTGTAACCAGGTAGAGATTCTCACACATACTTGGGAAAGAAATCTACTAAACCTGGCCAGAGGAGTCTGATGTTCTGGAGTGACCAGCTAGGTTCCTGCACCCTAATTTATCACACAAAAGGACACTGCTTTGGTTTCCCTAGAGATTGAATGAGATGAAATTAAGCTCAGGGGAACAAATGACAAGAGCTGCCCACTCTACCCCACCAGTGTATCCTGCAACAATATGAAAGCAGGTGCACGGAAGGCCTGTCACCATCATTTGTCCACCAAGACTCACAGGTGGCTGGGTTAGAAAGTCACGTGATGCTCTCACTGGAAAAAGCCTGCCAGACCCACTTCCGAGATGGTCGGAGAGGGACAAGGGGAGGATCATGCTTCTACGAGCTCTCCTGCCAAGTAAGGCTGAACAGCAAAACCCCACATTACCTCCAGCCTCCGGGGAATGGCAGAATCTTCATGTTTCTTGAGTTCTTCAAAAGTGCGCAGCTCCAAGTGCGCCTGCTCAATTTGGTCCCATAGGTCATTCAGCTGCTTCATGAGCCCCATGGCACGGGACTGGTAGCCTCCAAGCAAAATTTTCATCTTTTTTTCCATCTTAGCCGCCCTCTTGGCTTCTGTCGTCATGTGACCCCTATTTATCTGGGAAGAGGTTATATCAACAGCTGTAAAGACAGCAGATTATTCAATACAAGGGCTAAGAAGGCACCTCTGGTCCATCTTAGTGCTTCAAAGCAAAAACAAACCAGAGCTCCCTACAACACAGCTACTGAAACACAACTTCTTCTAAGAAGGGTTTACCCTGAATGCACTGGGTTGGTTTTTTTACAAGTCAGTCACAAACAATCCATAAAACTTCATGAATGATTCAACAACCAAGCAGGCTTGAGATTCACTGTAGGAAAAACTTTTATCTATTTTCTGAAAATAATTTCTACTACCCTTCATCTGCAGAGATTCTGGACTGGCAGAAACACCTTATTATCGTTTATCTAAAAATGCACTTTTATGTTCTGTATCGGTGGGCTGGGGATTTAGCTCAGCGGCATAAGTGCCTGCCGTGCAAGCAGGCGGTCGTGAGTTCGATCCCTGGTACCGATAAAAAGGAAAAAGACAAAAAAAAAAAAGTTCTATATCGGTTCATTTTTAGTAAGTGAACACTATTCTGATTAAAATATGACACTTCAGACCAAACATAACTCCCTCAATCTACCTGATTATTAGATCCTAAATATGGCATAAAACCCATAAAGAGAAGAGAAAATCTGTATCACATTTGGTATTTTTTTTAAACACTGAGGAGTAAAAAGATAACAAAATTAAGAGAAATGCTGGTTTTCCCATTAAATATATACCATGAACACAGAACAGCTGCCTTCTCAAACCACTCTAAAGCTCCAGGAAAAGAATTTTACAGTATATGAATTCTCTTAAAGAACAAGAGAAACCACAGAAGAACGAGTTCACCATATCGGAGCATGTGAACTCCTGCAGCAGGACACAGCCCCACAGAGGAGGCTGGGGGCAACTGAGTGCTGTGTTCCACTCCCCGCTACACAACCACTTCCCAGTTTAAAGTGACCTGCAAAGGCTTGTTCTAGGATTATATGGCCAACGCTTTAGGAATAATTATGAACTGTTCATTTCTTTGTGTCTGTGAGCACCCGCCCCCCCCCCCCGCAAAAAAACTGATTCCTTCAAGTGATTTCTATAAGCAACTACAACTGGGTAAGATAATGTATACCCAAATGAAACTCTGTAGTGTCTGCGGACTTTTAGGGTTGTTGTTTTTGTTTATTTTTGGTACTGAACTCTGAACCTTGCACTTGCTAGGCAGGCGCTTGTGTATACTCTGTAATGTATGCCAATACAAAATAATGTACCTGAGAGCACTCAATAACAAGGCAGACAGTGTGATAATGTAAATACTTTTTTTTTTTGCACCATACTAAATGTAGGGTAGTACTATGTAAATAAAGAAAAATGGTACCATGGAGAAAATCGTCAAATACAAAATGATAACATAAAACTATACCTACGATGTTTCACACATGTGTAGAGAAATATAATCCCCCAAATAAATATACAGCTTACCCTAACTCTGAAATGTCCACTTTAATGTGTAACATCCAATTTCAAAATAGAAGTTCAACACCTATCATTAGACTTCATAAGAATGCAAAAAAAAAGTAAATGCCCATCAAAATGTAAAGTACAATATGCTTCTACTGCAAAAGGTATACTTCATATGTATCCAGCTTAGTTCATTTAAGTCAAAGTCACGTAAACTTTGGGGCAGAGGGGCACTGTATACAAAGAATGTGCCTTAGCAAGATGAAACGGATATAAAATTGAAGTTCCTTTAAAACCATTACTTTAGCACTTTATAAAAGTTAAGCGTTTCTTTAGTACTTTATAAAAGTTAAGTGTTTCTTCAGCAATGCAAAGAACAAATCTCTTTTTTTTGGTTCTAGGGATCGAACTCAGAACCGCGCACTTGCAAGGCAGGCACTTATGCCGCTGAGCTAAACCCGCAGTACAAACAACAAATCTATGTAAACTCTTATGTCCCATAGAGAGCCATTTTCCACTACTAGGTCCCAAATCAGAATCAGTCCCGTGCATCACACACCTTCCCTGCGGGTCAGCAAGCACTGCAGGGGCAGCCGCGCATGGCACTCTCTTCTCCCTAACTATTCTGAGCTGATGTTAAGTTACTTAACCTCTGGTGGGTCTCACTTTCTCCAACAGTAACAAAACAGCAACTGCTGCTACAAGTTATTAGGAAGCTGAAACTGGAAAACGTATGTGAAAGCCCTCAGACACCTACAACCTGGCACAGAATAATCCGTCAAGGAATGTTAGCTTGGTATTTTACAGATACTGTGAGTTCGACCACTTTGTTCTCTGATGATGAGAGATGAAGGGTAAGACTTTAAAATCTTCTTAAATTCCAACTTTAATAAAAGACTGTGCCAACCTCTTGGGAATAAAACAAGGGAAAACAGCTGTTCCTTAGTATGTCTTTTAAGAACCAACAGATCAAACAGCACACAATGGACCTCTGTCCTACAATGTAAGATTATCAGAGCAAGGACAGCCTCAGAGCTCCTCTGCCCTATAAGAAGACTTTCTAAACCTCGAGTTCAAATGAGGCAAAATGCCCAAGTAGTACAGGGACCCTTCTCCAGGGAACACCCAAGAGAGGTGGAAACTGCCCATACAAAACTTGTGACCAGCCAAAATGTGGAAATACCCCCAAACATCCCCAAAAAAGGGAGTAAACAAAATGTGCCATTATCCAGACAATGAAATATTCCCTCAGCCATAAAAAATAAATATAACAGTTGTGAACCTTGAAAACACCGCTAAGTCCAAGAAGCCCAAAAAGCCCATCACAAAAGACAATACATATGATTCCACAGCTGCGAAATGTCCTGAAAAAGCAAATCTACAGGTACAGAGAGGAGATGAATGGTTGCCGAGAGCTACACAGGCTCAGGAAACAGATAGTGACCACCAGTAGGTACAGGAGGACGGAAACATGCCACAGTTGACTGCAGTGATAGCTTCACAATTCTAGAAAGCTAAGCCACCACACAATACAAATGAGTGAGCTATATGGTCACTTGTATCTCAGTAAGGCTACTGTGAAAACAACGTATCCAAATAAAATACTGCCTCCTGTGAGAAAAAAGAAACAATCTACATCCTTAATTGTTCTGGATTCAAAATGCAAAAAATGTTTCCCCAAAAAAATCAAATTAGTACTCTCCATGTCTAGGTTCTAGAAGGTGGTAGGAGAAAGGAGTTAGATTTCTTTTAAAAAAAGCAAAAATTCTACCCTCATACATTTTATACTACAGTCTAGGTAAGACTACAATAATTTGCATTTGCCCCCTCCCAGTTCATAAATTCCTGGAGCGCATCTTTAAAACCAGTGCTCTTCACGCTTGAGAACACCTGTGGCGCTTTTAAAATGTCCCAGCACCAATGCCCTAGCCTCCTGACTCTACTGGTGTCCTTAAATCGCCTAAAGGTTGTAACAGGCAAGCAGGATGGGAAACAGGCATCAAATGGGCAGCTAACAGTGATTTGCGCAACTCCACCCACCAAAAGGTCCTCCTTCCCAACAACAAATGAACCAGTTCCAATAAGTTCCAAACTATCTATTTGTTTTTAGCTTTTTTTGAGACAAGGCCTCACTAGGTAGTTCAGACTGGCCTTGAACTCAACTCTGTAGCCCAGACTGGCCTTGAACTAAGAGCAATGATACGCACGTGCCACTATGCCTGGTTACATGCCATTCCTCGGGTTGTAATTCACCGTCCTAAGAACACCCATGTGCAAATCCCAGTCATGTGCAAATTCATGTACACAACCGAGGATCTTCAGAGCACAGAATTTCAAATTAATCATTTTTAAAATTAGTCATAAATTACCATCTTCATGAGTTAAGAGGACTGAATTATCTTCACGGCACTCCTCCATGATCTTTACTAATGGCCCTCCACAGACCTCGGATTTCCCATTTGGTGTAACAGCTTAACACCATTGTTCAAAGACACTCTTCCATCAGTCATCAAAGCACATTCTGTACTATTAATACCCTGTCCCTGTGTCGGGAATTACCTCATCTCATACAGTTGAGTCACTTACTATCCCCAAACCCTCTGGGAATTTCAGACTCCAAAGTTGTTTTAATTTGTTGCCAACAATTACACTTCATCTAGCCTCACTCCTATTAAAAGTCTTCTGGCTCACCTATATTGTGCTAAAAATTCAAGCAAACAAGGAAAGCAGTTTATATAAACATAAATTTAATTACAGAAAAAATTAATTTAGCTGAATAACTATAGAAAGTCCATTGTAAGACATAAAACACAGCTTTCAATATTCAATTTCAGTGACCTAAAGTCTGCCATCTGACTATTAAAACGTGAAGACAGCTACTGGCAGGCTTTGTAAAATTCTAAACCTAGGAGTGCTCAATATACTTTAAAGCAGGGGAGAAACAAACAAACAAAAGGCTATAGTTTCTACTAAAAGCTAATAAATCTTAAGCATGAAATACACATGCATACATGAGACAGAAATACCTTAAGTCAGTCCCAAATCCCCACCAACACCACACAGCACATACATACACAGTTAAGTACAGGAATATAAAGCCGTATGATACAAAATATGAAGAAAACTAGGCTCTGTTTAACTAGATTCACATTTTTAAAGTCCTTTTAAAAATAAATAAATAAAAACCTTTAGATATTAACAACTGTTCTGAAGGACAATGTTTGTTTTAAAAGATATCTTATTTTTATATATCATTTACCAAAAATTCTCCAAGTGCCTGTCAAATCAGTATGTCTCAGAGCTTATCAAATATCTTTTTAAATGCCACTCAACTCTGTATACAGGATGAACCTACAGCCACACCACCCTGAATACACCAAACCCTGTCTGTATATAGGACAATACCAACCTGAAATGTAGACTACACTAACTCGAAATCTGAAATGCTTTACTTGTAGGTGCTCTAAGTTATGTCAGGAACTGATCTTTGTTCTTGAGAGCTGCAGAACTGAAAAGCATTTCCCTATCAGGCAACTAGAATGAGACATAGATACCTACCAGCCTGCAAC